AGAGAGAGAGAGAGAGAGAGAGAGAGAGAGAGAGAGAGAGAGAGAGAGAGATCAGTACAATTACAGAGAGGTTGAAAGTTAAACGCAATAACGAACACTGATTAGCGCTTGAAAATCATTTTAAAAAAATTACAATACATCGACTCGATAACGGACTACGGACATGCAGGGATGCGAAAAAGCAAGAAAAACAAACTAGCAATAGGGGGCAGCACAGGGAACAGAACAGAAGCAGTGGCGCCCTCCAACCATCCATTATTTGAAAGAGCAGCCCATTCTGACAAGCTACAGACAGAGAGTGAAAGTGTATAAGTTTAATGCCCCTTTCAACACTGTAAGATCCTTTAAAAGGCGTACCCTTCGAAATTTACGTCCATCTCAGTAAAAAGACCAGGTTAAATTGGTGGAGAGCATTAACCCCCCCAACAACCCAAGTTTAGAACTGCCCTGAGAAAGGTTCGAAGCAGGACCATCCGCTTCGTAGTTCAGCAATACACCAACTGAGATAAACGCGCATCCAGACGGCGAGGAAAGAAGTAGGGCTTAACATTGACACAAACATCGTTAACACGACTTGACGCCGAGCTGAGAACAGAGAGAGCCTGCTTAGCTATCGAGAACCTTAACATTCAACTTGAGACTGGGCACTCCCAAGCTCGGGATAACACAGCTATGTGGCGTGGGAGTTAGTACAAACACACATGAATTTTGACGTAACTTTGTTCGGTATCACGCTGGCTCTACAGATAAGTTCCTAAAAAGAGAGAAAGGCATATGTGCTGTACTGATACTCATATTGAGTTCCTTTATAATAATAATCATGCGCCTGTTTTTGATCAGTTACAGAAACTTACAGTAAGCTACTTTTTTCAATATACTGAAACTATCTGTATGCCTATCTTAACTATTTAAAAAACGCAACCCTTCAGTAAAAGTAGAAACGGTTAAAAAAAATTTTTTTTTATTATTCTTCAAGAGATATTTTTTTACTACAATAATCACCTTATCGGAATTGATGTCCTACTGGCACCTCTCAAATCCCGAGCCGCGAGCCACGACACAACTTTCGCTTGAGACAGGCGCTCTATGGACATAATTCCAACGAGTGTCGCGAGCTACCATGACAACAGGTTCATCTGTCTGTTGACTTGCTTAATTTTACTAGGATGAACAAGAACGTTGAGTAGCTGCAGGTGGGAAAAGTGAGGGGTGGGGGGAGGGGTGGGGTGTACTGTTAAGGAATACTGCCAATGTACAATGGTAGACGTCTACGAAAAGAAATGTGAGCACTCGATGCTGTAAAAACTGAGCCAATCAGCCAGCCAGCAACAGAGCTTTTCCCTATCACAGTAACGTCGTTTTGTCACAGTGAGAAAGTTTGCCATTACATAAAACCCAAAAGAAAACATGTACACCCCCCCCCCCATCCCCGCTTCAAAGCTACCCAGCCTTAAAGGTGAGTATACCTGGATACCTGGATACCTTGAGGTGTCATCTTTGACTTAGAGGTTGACTGGTAATGACCCTCCATCCTTCACAGTCACGAGCTGCCGTTGCACTTTCTGCCATATCCAGGCCAGTCCATGTTCTTATGTTGTCCATCCTTGTTATTGTTTTCCTTCTTCTGGCTCTCCTGTCCAACATCTTTCCTTCAAGCACCTCTTTCACAATAGTCGCGTGTCGTTTGAAATGGCCATAGTATTGCACTTTTAAATATTTTATTATTTTCCAGCAGGGTTTGTCTTGTGTGTAGAACCTGACATAACCGGAACTTAATTGTTTGTCTTCTATGTTTTCCAACTTATTCTGGCCATTCCACGGTAGCACCACATCTTAAACGCATTTATTTTGTTTCCTCCTTTCCTTGTCAAAGTCAGGTCTCTGCGAAATAATTTATAGGTGAGTATGGGATGGGGTTAACGCCAAGGACTAGGATTACGTGTTTTCTTTTTAAAATGATCTCCCACTCTGCTGTCATCGTCAAGTGCCAGATCTGCGACAGACATCAGCGATCGTCGTTCGCCATTCATTCCTCTGCTTGGATACTCTCTACAAAGTTAATATCCTGGTCTTTCCCCGTCACCCATCTGTTTAGGCTTTCCAACTAAGTTGACCAGGGTCTACCTCACTCTACCTCGTTTGCCTTCAATTTTACACGTGATTCAGTGAGGACTAGACGTTCAATGTCCTTGTCTATTCAAAGTGTCCAAGGAACTGCATTAATTAGAATTTATTGTCTTTTCCGTTTTGTTTTTTCTTTCAGAGGAGGTGGCCCATTAGGCGGCTTTTTCAAGTACATGTATTGCCTCATTTGGTTTCTTTTTCTTAGAAGACATTCTCAACAGTCTCCCAAGAGGCCCCGTATCTGTTGCTTGAAG